AGCCACGTCACCAGGCTCCTGATTGGTTGTCGCGGCGCGATTTGACGCTGGAGTTCAGATTTTTCCAACTCAAGCGGTAGACGCAAAACGCGCGAATGCACAAAATGCAACACGAAAACTCACGCAGTTTTATTTGTGAGTCAAACGCGCCAGACGCGCTACACTGACACGCGTTTCAGGCTTTTTTGCGTTTTCGCGTTTTCGCGACGCAAATCTGCTTCCGAATTTTCGCGGGACCCGCAATTGCGTGTCATCGCGCCTTTCCATTGACTTTACATGTAAACCTGACGCTCTATTCGCGTCCATCGCGTTCGGTGTGAACACACCGTCAGAGTTTGTTGGTTGTTCTCAGAACACGTCTGAAGATGAAAGGGGGCGGAGCCTTTCAGTCTGTGGCACCAAGGCTGTGGAACAGTCTACCTCTACAACTATGTTTGGTTGAATCTGTGGAATCCTTTAAAAAACAGTTAAAAACTTTACTGTTTAAACAAGCTTTCTGTTGACCAATGATTTTTACATTTTTTATATTTTTAATTTACATTTAAACTCTATATTGTGTATAGTGTCCATTTTGCTATTTATCGTACTGTTTATTTTAATCTCTGTGTGCAGCGCTTTGTGACTACCTGTCTATGAAAAGCGCTTAATAAATAAACTTTACTTACTTACTTAAGCAGGAAATGACTGACTTTGTTACTAAGATGCCCACTGTCATATTCCAGAATCAGGTTCTAAAATTCGCAAATGGATCTGAGACTTTTCCTTTCTTTATAATGAGTCAGAAAATATGTTTTTAGTAGGTCTACAGTTTGCTTTAACACATTCTAAACCAGCATGTGAAGATACAAAGACTAAGTGCTGCTCTTCAGTATACATCCTGAAACTAGCCAATGGAAAAAGGGTGTTTAGGAAGGGTGGACTTAAAGGGAAGAAGCTAAAGCTTGTTTCGGTCAGGGGTCTTTCCATCTGATCTATTTTTTCTTTATTTTTTAACAACCTTTTCTCCACTACTATTTCCAATTGAATATTAAAAAGTATATATTATGTTCCAAAGTTCACTACAATGGCAATTTGCCAGCTCCTCATTTGTTTCCATTTAGCTACTGTTGAAATTCGTTCGATTTGGGTAAGAGAAGAAAGCAGGCTGAGTCCCGGTAGGTGTCAAAAATAGTGATCTTTATTACACACTTGCGCAAAGTGTGGGAAGAAAACTTGCAACAACATTCTCCGCCGAGCGGACGCTCTCCATCCTTATATTACCCATGATGACGTCACACAGTTAGACCTTACTGGAAATGATAACAGTTCCCCACACTCAAAAAGTTCTCCTTATATAGACATCAGATGCTACTTTAGAGACAACAAGTGTGTGATATGTTGTGCATTTTGTGAAACTGTGTGTCCTTATAGAGAGGATGTCCTGACACGACCTCCCCTTTCTTAATAAATGTGTGTGTGAACGTGCGTGTGTTACATGACTCTCTGTGCATGTTGGTGTAAGTAAGCCTGAGTACGTGCAGAACTGAATGTAGTAGGCCCAAGGTCCAACAGGACCCACATCTTCGAGAGGTGTGAACACAATGATGTGGTGCAACAGCTTATGCAGATAGAAAGAATGATACAGAGCAACCATAGACTGATTAAAGTAATGAGAATATGTGTACATTAATATTTTGCTCAGATTAACATAGATATAATTCAAAGATTATTCTGTCAACAGATTCAACAATGCTGAATGCTTGATCAATAATAGTTCTGATTATAAACTGTCACCATAAGAATACAAAATAAAATATCTCTTGTCCACACTACTCTTATAACTATGTTTTTACTAAGCCAACTACAAGTGGGTTTTTCTCCAGACATAAATATATTTTTTTAGCTAACCATGAATTGTATTCTCCACTAAGACTTTTTATAATGTTACTTTTACAGACTGAATCTCTGTAACCTGTCAGAGGAACGCAATGAAGCTCTGTCCTCAGCTCTCAGCTCCCAGTCCTCCTGTCTGAGAGAGCTGGACCTGAATAACTCTGACCTGCAGGATTCAGGAACAAAGTTTCTTTCTGATGGACTGAAGAGTCCACACTGTAAACTGAATATTCTCAGGTCAGATCAAACTATATGTACATATGTATGTATGTATGCATGTATACCAACTCACAGAATGAAGAAAAAAACAGGATTAAATATTACTAAATGTAATAACGACTCATTATACTTAAAGAAATGTGTTGGTTTTATTGTTTATCTGTTATTTTTCAGACTGAGTCACTGTAACCTCTCAGAGAAAGGCTATGAAGATCTGTCCTCAGTTCTAAGCTCCCAGTCCTCTAGTCTGAGACAGCTGGACCTAAGTAACTGTGACCTGCAGGACTCAGGAGTGAAGCTTCTGTCTGCTGGAGTAAAGAGTCCCAACTGTACACTGGAAACTCTAAGGTCTGATTTAAAACCTTTCTGCTGATGATCACTTAAAAACTTTATATTGTTGAAATATGTCTGTGAAGGTTCTCAGTCATCCAGGTCATCGTAGTCTAAGGAGCTTGGAAAGAAAAGCGTCTGGACATCTTTAAGTTACTTGAAGACGTTTCACCTCTCATCATAGAAGCTTCTTGGCTCTTGGCTCTCAGCGAAGGCAGTCGCACTTTTCTCCTCTCCTCCTCACCCTTATCTTCCCTGCTTAGCCTCTATGTCCTTGTCTTGTCTCGTGTGCATTACTTTCCCTGGAACAGTCTCTCACTGTCGTTCTCTAAAACCTAAAAGAGAATTATGGATTTGATCAACTGGT